TGCTAACTGGGTCTGCTGACATGGCTGCTGACGTGGCCCCTTTTTTTTTTCTCTTCTTCTTCTTCAATTTCCCGAGCGCTACATAAACTATATGAAAAGCCCAATTTTGAATTAAATGAAAAATAATAATAATAATAATAATTTTAAAAAAAACATAAAAAGTAAAAAATTAGGGATTAAAGACCAAAAGAGTATATAATGTGCTTGAGCACAATGGACAAAGTTGGTCAAAGGTCAAATGCCCCTTTCCCTAGAGGGGAATCTAACCCTCTGGGGAATTATATATATATATATATATATATATTTATATTAAAATTTTAATAATATATTATGTATTTATACATTGACCATAATTTTTATAATGTACATTTTTTAAAATAGTAAATTCCAACTATAATTCAATAAAATAAAATTATATATTTTTTCTTTTTTTAAAAGAATCGCTAGTTAATCCTATAATATTATGATTGAATTTTTATTTTTACTACTTAAATTACACCCATGAAATTCAAGGAGGTATAGACAAGTTTCTTTTTTTTTTTAATTTAATAATTAACATTAAACAATTTAATGATTACCCATTGCAATAATCTCCAAAACCAAAGCTCTTTTGTCACAATTCACAAAGAAAAGACAAATATATAATTCTATATGTATAAACACATTTTAGGTATTCACCCCCACTAAGAAACATACAATTAAACTCTCTTAGATTTGTTCACCCAAAATTTTGAGCACTTATGCCTCATTAGTTTCACCAAATAATCAATCATTACTTATATATATATATATATATATATATATATTCTTCTTTGCTTTAGCTTTCTCCGCAATTTCTCCTCTATATCTTCCAACTTATGCCACACTAAGCAATTCCCCTCTTTACTCACACATTTTAATTCAATTACCCACTTTAATTCTTCATGGGTTCTGTTTCTCCTCATAGTTCTCCTCAATCCTTGCTTGAGAATTCTTCAAACAATTTTCGAATATATGTAGCTTTCTCTCGTAGAGATTCTTCATTGAGATCCAATGTATCTAATTGGATTGAATGCTACAATCCTTCAAATAATTTATGGCAAAAGGTAAGTGTTATTCCAGGATTAATTGATAATCATATGCTAAAGGGTTTCTCTATGGTTTCAATTAGTGATTCTATTTATATAATCGGTGGAAAGCTTGTTTTGAAAATTATAGGGAGTGATCCAGATAATACTATTACAACTGATGTGGACATGAAAGTGGTTTCTTGCGTGCTTCGTTATGATACAAAAAATGATGTTTGGTCCAAGTGTGCATCTTTACGTGTGCCACGTTTTGATTTTGCATGCACAGTGTGCAACAATAAAATTTATGTAGCTGGAGGACAATCTACATTGGGGAGTGCACGTGGAATTTCTTCAGCTGAAGTTTACGATCCAGCACTAGATGAATGGCAAACACTACCTAACATGAGTGCAATGAGATACAAATGTGTCGGGGTAACATGGCAAGAGAAAATTCATGTAGTTGGAGGGTTTGCTGAGAGAGATGATCCGAGATTAACACCATGGAACACAAAAGAAAGAAGCTCAGCTGAGGTATACGACTCGAGTAATTCCAAATGGGATCTAATGTTAGGAATGTGGCAATTAGATGTACCACCCAATCAAATAGTAGTCGTAGATGATAAACTCTTTAGCTCAGGAGATTGCTTAAATGCTTGGAAAGGTCATATTGAGGCATACGACGGCAAACTTAACATATGGAATGTGGTTGATGGCTCACAGTTACAAGCTTTAGCTTCACCCATTTCTAATATGTCACAAACTTATTGGCCTCCAACCCCACAATTACGACTCTACCTCACTATGGTTCCTATTGGAACCCACTTATATTTTTTGGCAGGCTACAAAAAGTCTGAGGATTATTATAAATCCACGTCAATTGTTCACATATTTGATACATCAGCAAATAAAGACGGATGGACCAGTTTGGAGCCAATAGAAGAGGAATGCGAAAAAGAACTATGTAGCCACTGTTGTGTGGTCAAATAAACTTAAAAAATATAATATAATGAGAATATATAAACATTATTAATTATTTTAATAATTTGAATGAATGAATCAACTAGGTATTAAAGAGTCTTATTACCCTTGAACTTCATCTTTCAACTATAAATCTTTACTTAGCATATATTTCATCCAATTTTCATTTTATTTTTTGTTTTTTCTTTTTCTTTTTCTAATGCATTGTAATATAAATGAAGACTTGAATAAAATATTATCTTTTCTGTTTTTTTTTTTCCCATTTGATTATGGTAATTTGGTAATTTTACTTTTTAATAATTTATTCCTATTATTTATTTTAATTAATTAAATTATCACTCCAATTATACTAAAATAAATATAAAATATTTATAAAACAATCTAAAATGCACGTAATCATAGCTCATGTCAGAGAAAAAAATATAATTACGTATTTAACACCTCTCTCCATCCACTGACGATTACCGTTAAGACCCCACCTGACACTAAACGGACAGTCCATCAAAGCCTGAGACGTTAATGATATAATTTGGAAGGCGTGTGCCAGAATGACAGTCCACTAAAATCTCACCACGTGGCTAATTTATATTCGTTCATGTTACGTTACACGTGTTCACAGTGGTCCATTGGCACGGGAGAGACGTGAGTAGTACGTGGGGACCACGTGCACCGCTCAGAATCCAGTATCCATGCAATCATTTCCCTTTTATAAAAAAAAACATAATATAACATTATAGTTTGATTAATTATATAATAAATTTTTAATTTATAAATTCTATTGATAAATTTAAATTTTTTATAAATTAATAAAAATATTTTTGTGAACTTTATTTTCTGGGAAATAGCCTTACAACTAAATAATATAAAAATTATTTTTTTAACATAAAATATAATTAAACCGAATATGTGATCAAGAGTTTACATAAATATATAATTCTAAAATTAATAACCGAATAAAAATAAGTTACATAAAAATATAATATACATAAAATTATTACTTATAATTATTACATTGGTTTTACTTTAATATATAAAAATAAATAATTTATTGTATAAATATTAATATTAAATATAAAATTATATAAAAAATAAGAAATTTAAACGTGTAAATTCATATACATAATATATGTATATATATATTGATTTCAAACCTTCAGAAACTCACAATCAAAAGGTTTGTTGAACCTCTGCCCCCCCCCCCCCCCCCTCTCTCTCTCTCTCTCTCTCTCTCTCTCTCTCTCTGGCACGCGCGCAGAGCACCAAACTTCTTCTTTTTGGTAACAAACTTTCCATGAGAAATCCTTTTATGGAGCCATGTCCATCGTCCTCAGTCCTGCTATTTACATCAAGTTCTAGTCGCCATAAACAATATTAACCCCCAAATGATCACTTACTCTCTCTTTTCTTCTTCTTCTTGCTTCACCAGCTTTCTGTACACGCTAAGTTGCTAATGATCAGAGAAGAAAATATAGCTGAGTTGTCATATACATACGTACATATAATCAATTAGCTGTTGAAGCTAGGGTTTGATCAATGAGTGGTGAAGGGAACAGCTGGGCCACGGTGCCGCCACCACTGGTGGCTCCGCTGAACTTGGAGAAGGAAGACAACTGGAAGCATTTTGATAACTCGGTCAATGCGGTGTCGTTTGGATTCGTAGCCACCGCCATTCTCATTTCAATGTTCCTTGTTATGGCTATTTTCGAGAGGTTTCTCCGACCAAGATCCTTGCAGCCTTCCTCTGCTACTTCCACCTCCCGTTCCGATCTCGAGGCTCAAATTGTTGCGTTCAACTCCAAGCTCCATTCACCTTCCCACAAGGTACCTACTCTCTCTCTCTCTCGTTCTCGCTCTCTTTCTCTACGTATCTGTGTCTGTTTTATATCATAGGCATTTTCAGGCATGCGTGTTTATTTTTCTTCTGATTTTCCTCTGTTCTATGAGTGTGGCAGGGTTAAAAATGAACTATTAATTTTTAGTCTGCTGAGAAATTTTAAATTCTGGTGAAACATAGCAACTCTCTGTTTCTTCTTTCTTCTCCTCTTTTTTTAGTACAATTGCAGTGTTTTTGTTTTGTTTTTATCTTTCTGAAGACTTACATGCTGAGAAATTGTGAATTGAATGATGGAAATAGCTCTTTTACATTGCAGTGTTTTTTCTTTGGTCTTCTTCATCTGTGTTATCGTCTGCAATTGCGATGAGTGAGTTGCAGGCATGATTGTGACGGTTCCCTTTTACTTTTCTTTTTGTGTGTAATCATGGCTAATTTATGCATCTTTGACTCTTTTTTTCCTTTGTTTTTTCTTTTTAAGCGCTTCACATGACTCTTTCTGTTTCTAAATTTGTCATTTACAACAAATTGACATAATGATCAAGGCATTAATTATTACAAATTACTCTTTAATTTACTAAATACTCTATTTAATTCCAAAATCATTTCTAATAAATTTAATTACACATAAAAATACAATAATTAACTTAATACATTAGAAATTAATCATCTTACATTTTAATTTAATCCAGTGATTGTAATTATAGCTTTCTTCTTCTCGCTGAAACTCTGGTTTCCCTGCCAAATTTTTTGTTCTATTCCCAGAATTATTTGCTGGAATTGAACCTAGAAATAATTTAAGAAATACCCGCGATAATTAAATTAGTATTTTTTTTTTCATTTCTTTTCTGCCTACAAAATTTGAATTCACTTGTTCGTGAAGACAGTTCAAAATGGTAATGATAATCCAGATATGGTGGTGGCAGATTTGGTTGATACTAGTGACAATTAGGCTTAAGTTTATTAAATAACGGTAGCTTAATTTGTGGAGAGAGGTCATATTTCATTAATTTAATAATTCAATTTAGCTCAAGGAGGGATTGCTTCGTGCTATGAATGCAGCAGCTTCTATAGTGGGCTGCACTATGCAATCCTACATTATCATATTAGCCTAAAATATTATATTGTTACGGCGCCCTAACGCAACCTGACTTCATTACTAAAATTTTTAGTGTCCCAATGCAGTTGAAGCCTAATTTCAGTGTTTTCTTACTACTAATCTTCATAAGTTTTGCAGTTATTTTGTCTGATTATGAATAGGATGGTCCACTGTTAGTGAACTTACAAGATTAGTTTTAAGCACCAGTTTGTTTAGTTTCTTGAAAATAAGTTGAATTGAGGAGAAAAATAATTGTCTAAAATTGGAAGATACTATAACTATCCTACCGATATATAAATATATATATATATACTTGTGTGTGTGTTTCTGATGCAATTTCTTGCCATTCTTCATGAACTATGCTGTCATTTATTTGGTTATACATATTTTTCAAACTTAAAGCAATTTACCAATGCTTAAAAATGCCTTTAATATGGATATTCCACTCATGGCAGCCTATCATAGATGATGCTTTTCTGTGACGTTCCTCAGATTTTTCCTTTTTTGTTTTTTTGTGTGTTTGCAATTGTTAATAAGAAACAGTTTTGTGATTGTGGATGAAACCTTTTCTACACAGTTTTTGGATACTCTCCTCTGAGTCCTCTCTGATGCCTACTCCGGTTAGGGAAAATATGGGTTCCTATATTTGTCATCATCATGTGAACTTTGTCTCAACTTCTAATAAATGTCGAATTGTACTCGCCAAAAACCACTGGCTTTTAAGGTTTAGGCTAATTGGTAGTGACCCTTCACAGAACTTTCTAAAGCAGAATCCAACCGTTGCCAAAAGCAATGTTGTTACTGTTGTCGTCTAGGAAATTTCTTACATTGACTGACAACTATGAGGTTTGCTATTGACAACTATGAGTTATCCTCCTGTTGTATAATTTAGTAGCTCAACACTATCAAGCAAAAAAACAGAATGAAAAATATTATGAAGGTTAATTCCATGTATGATCTTGCAGCGTATAGAGAAACATAATATATAAAGCATATACATGCTTAGATTGGTTGATCAAGGTGTTACAAAACATATATGCTTAGATTGTGAGTGAAACATTATTGAACTATGGGATTTTTATATTTGGCATCGATTCAAAATCTTTAAAAATTATTATTGGTTTGACGATGATGGCCTTGTGCCATCTAAAGGTTTGTCCTATGCCATTAACTGTTATCCAAACATGTCTAGACACAATGGTCGAGCCTGCTTTAATTGTTGCTAGGTTGCCCTTTACTTAATATAGAGCAACACCATCACCTGATGTGTTTTCTTGTTAATATGCTCTTGGTTTTGCATTTCTCGATATCTTCCTTTCTCTAGCTTTCACAGGGCAGAGCTTCTTCCTATGTTTCTCAACTAATTAATTATATAGTCCATTTATTATTTATTTATTCCTAGAAGTCCTTGATTTATGGGAAGAGGTTTGACATTCAGCAGGCACATGTAATTTTAATGGGTTTAAATACTTTAGTAGTTAGGATTTTTTTTATTGTTCATGATCTGCAATAACTTGTCTCCTAGCTAATATTATATAAATCTTAAGAAACACTAATAAGTGTTTTATTTTTTCTGAAAATTCATATGTCTCATTAATTAGATGACACTTATTAATAATAATACAATCTACTAATAGTGATACACACAATACTATCTTTTATTAAGAACACATAAGATGCACAATTCATAACTCAAATCTGCATCCTCATAAAAATTAGCAAAAGTAACTACTATCTACCTAAAGAATAACTAGTTAAGAGTGAATGGTATTTTGCATTGTATGATTTAGTGATGAAAATCAGAAAAACCAATCATTTACTTCAATATCAAGTTTGAAGTTCAAATATTTGGGAGTAGGACCCAAAAATTATAAATTAGTTATCCTTCATCGGAAATAAAATATCTAGATTCATTATGTAAAAACTAATGCCAATATACTGTCATCCCCAGAAAAATTACTGATTAAATCAATCATATAATTAATAGTTTGCTTTTTGTTTGTGGGTTCTCTCTCTCTCTCACCTCCATGGTTGTTTGTCTTTCTTCATTGTAACATCTAATGTCTATCATACAAACTGCGTATTCACGAAACTTTTCACCATTCACCACCAATTCTTCACTTGACTCTAGTGAGAGTTAAAATGGCTTTCACACAGCCAATAACTGCAAACATATGTTTTACATAAAATTCTATAATGCCTATGAAGTACCTTGTTTCTCCAAGTTCCAAGCATTGAATCAAAAAAAATAAAAATCTGTCTGTTGATTTCGAATTTGATCCGACAGTTATGAACTTGGGAATTGCATACAGCATTTCAGAGATGCCATATTAGCACGGATTTATTGAAATGCACTATTTTCACTCCTTTTGTTTACCTTTATACTTCTCTGATCTTTGTCAGTAACTCATTCCATAAATGGTGTAGCAACAGTGAAGATATAAACATTGATATCCATTTAATTCTATGGGTTGATTTTTATTTGAGGTTGCAGATGACAATATATTCTAAAGAGGTATCAGTACTAATGCCTGGGGAGGAGATGCCAACCTTCATTGCACACCCTGCACCTGCACCATGTCCTCCAGAGCACATCTTAAAACCTCCCCATCACCAGAAAAACCCTTCTGATCTTCATTTCTCATCTTCAAGCTCTGTGATCACAAGCTAGAAGGTAACTTAATTTGACTTGAAAATACTTGAGCAGCCAATCACAAGGTGTCTTGGGCTTTGATTTTCACCGAGTTTTTTAGTGATTGTGTGATGCATGCATGTCATCAATCAACCTAGGATGCCATGTCAATAATGTGGAGGCCATATGGTTATGTCCGTGTCCGTGTCCATATTTGTATATTTTTGGATTTTATGAAAATTCCATGTTTTTGCTGTGCTTGTGCTGCCATGAAAACATTATTGCTAGAAGAACAGAGCTCTAGCACTTCTTCTCCATTTCTTGCAGTGTCATGATTCTTCTTCAATATTGGCGGGGAATCAAAACATCACTCGCACATATATATACATACACATGCCCGGATGCCCAGTTATCCTAAAATCTTAACACCCATGAACAAATATAAACAAGTCCATGTTGGTATATGGTAAAACAAATATATCTCACACACATGCATAGACATATGAAAACATTCATGGTAATATAATTAATTAGATGACTAACTAACCTAAAATCTATCTCAACTTAAGAAGAAATTACTCAATATTTTGTTTATGGATATGGAATAAGACATGTATAAACAATGCATATATTTAGATTTTATGAAAAATGCCATACTTTATCTGTGCCTGTGCTTCCATGGAAACATGATGGCAGAATGTATTTCACATACACATTTATTTCTTGCACTGTTGTAATTCTTCTTACCATGGGTGTGAATTAAAAAAACAGTGTTTCACATCCACATATATACCGCCGTATATATGAACATGCACAATAAAATAATAAATCAGGTGACCAAACACGTCTATAATTGTATATTTTTGGATTTAATAAAACTGCCATGCCTTGGACTGTACTTGTGCTTCCATGAGAACATTATTGCGAGAAGAACAGAGGTCTAGCACCTCTGGTCAATTTCTTATACTCTCATGATTCTTCCACATGGGTTTGAATTAAACCAATACTTACACAAATACATACAGACATATATATATATATATATGCACATGTACTACAGGATAATTTGATAGTGTTATTTATCCTATAATCATTTATACCACCGAAATGGCTCAATTTGTTTTTTAAGATTAATTAATTAAACTTGGAAGTTGGAGACAAAAGGTTATAACTTGTGCAGAGACCAATATGGATTCAAAAATTCAGAAGTAATACACAGAGACGGGACTGTCTATCACAAACATCTTAAAATGGTAACTCTTTGAGATATACACATGTATACACAAGTATATATATATATATATATATATATATCATTATAAAACTTTACTACATACACTTAATAAGAATACCAAGTTCAGTTTTCTAATTAGGAAGATAGGACGTTTTGTTTTAACAGAACAAGATGAATATTTTACATGAGTTACTTACATAGCTTTACTTTTAACATTTTGGTTCTAAAATATTTTACAAGAATATGTTTTTGTTTGTACTAGTTAGAAATTATGTTTTTACTTGTATTATTATTTATATTCATG